CGGTTTTTTTTTTTTTTTTTTTGCATGTATCTGTCCAATTTCCCCAACACCATTTATTGAAGAGACTGTCTTTACCCATTGTACATTCTTACCTCCTTTTTCATATATTAAGTAAGCGTATAAGCATGGATTTATTTCTGGGCTCTCTGTTCTGTTCCATTGATCAATGTATCTGTTTTTATGCCAGTGCCATGCTATTTTGATTACTGTAGCCTTGTAGTATAGTTTGATATCAGGTAGTGTGATACCTCCAACTTTGTTCTTCTTTCTCAAGATTACCATGGCTATTAGGGATTTTTTATGGTTCCATATAAATTTTAGGATTGTTTGTTCTAGCTCTCTGAAAAATTCCATTGGTATTTTGATAGGGATTGCATTGAATCTATAGATTGCTTTGGGTAGTATGGCCATTTTAACAATGTTGATTTTTCCTACCCTACTTCCATTTACTTGTATCCTCTTCAATTTCTTTAGAGCTTTCATCATAAATGGATGCTAGATTTTGTCGAATGGTTTTTCTGCATCTATTGATATGATCATATGGTTTTTATCTTTCGATTTGTTAATGTGGAGTACCATATTAATTGATTTGCGGGTATTGAACCAACCTTGGTTCCTAGAAATAAATCCAACTTGATCATGGTATATGATATTTTTAACATATTGCTGAATTCAGTTTGCTAATATTTTGTTGAGGAGTTTTGCATCCATGTTCATAAGAGATATTAGCCTATAGTTTTCTTTTTTTGTAATGTCTTTGCCTGGTTTTGGAACCAAGGTAATGGTGGCCTCATAAAAAGAGTTAGGGAGCCTTCCCTCTTCTTGAATTTTTTAGAATAGTTTGAGAAGAATAGTTGATGATTCTTCTTTGAATGTTTGGTAAAATTTACCTATGAAGCCACCTGTAGACCAGTTGTTTTATATAATGTCCCTTAATTTATGTTTGTCTGATATTTTCTTAGGATTCGGGTTATGCACTTTCAGCAGAATCACCACAGCAATGATTCTGTGTTCTTACTGCATCTTAATAAGGGATACCTCAGTCAAGTTTTTTTCACTGTAAAGTTGCTCTTTTTCTCTTTGTAATTAGTTTTTATTTTTTGGTAGGGAGATACTTTGAGACTTTGTAAATATCTTATTCTCATCAAACTTTGATGGTTACCAAAAGGTGGCTTTCTAATTCTGTACTTCCCTCTACATTTATTAGATGGCATAATATAAGGAAGAGGTTTTTCTTCTCATTTCTTTATTCATTTATTTATATCAATATGGATTCATGGATGCCTATTTTATTTACTAATTTATAGTCCATTACTACTATTATTTATTTTGCTCCCCAAATTGTCCCTGACTTTGCCAGTGGGAGCCCCATTCAGGCTTGACTTCTGCGTCTTTTTGACATGTTTCCATCTTATTTGGACCGCTTCCTTATTGTCTAGTACAATAAGATTTTCCAGGTTAACCCTGAAGTTTTGTTACCTGGCCCCAGAATCAGATATTTCTCCAGTGAGCCCTGATTCTTTGGAGTAGAGAAAAGCATTTAGAAATTAAGATCTGAGCATTGGATGTGCTTATTGGCTACTGGGGTGTCACTGCTCCCAGGCTTTCTCAATGTACAAAGCTAGGAAATATATGTATTTATATGTCTACGTATACATACTCCTATATATGTAATGCACAATTACATCTGTTTTATTACTAGATGTATCTATCTATATTAAAAACATGTGTTCACACTTCTAGTTCCAATCTAACACCACAGGAAAGCATTCTTAATTTCCATATTTTTCCCCCTTCCCTGATAGTGAGAAACATGGCTGCTGTTATTCTCCATCCCTGAGGTGTAACCAGTATCACTGGCTCCCACCTTCTTTTGGCCCTGGCCTCATTGGGCCACTGCCTTGTACCGCCACCTACCTTGCTTGGCCCCAAACTCATATGAAGAAAGGAAGGAAGGCCCCTAAGAGAATTTAAGTATAAATAATTTTAGCCCTTGACATTATTTTGACAGTTCTATTGGTAAAAAACTCACTTTTTTTTTTCTTTTTGCTAATCATGATAGTGCCTATCTTTTCTATAATTTGGGGGTTTTTGAAGGTAGACAATAAAAGATAGGAAGTAGGCCAGGAGAGGTCCTTCTGTGAGCAAAATACCTGAAAAGAAGTAGGGACAGTGACAGAAATGGGTGGAATTAAAATACTAGGGGACCTGAAGCTTCTTTCTCCTTATTTTCCCTCTTCCCATATCCCAATCTCAAGTCCTGGTAAATGGAAAAAAAAAAAAAATTTTTTTTTTTTGTTTGTCCAGTGCCTATTGGGAAAAAGCTCACTGTGTAAGCTAATTCTCCACTTTGCTTATCTGTAGGTGAAGTTGGGGACAGGAGCTGGAGAGCCACAGGAAAAGGTCACGGCAAAGAAGGAGGAGGTAGCTGGAGAAAGAGCTAGGTTAGAGAGGAACTTGTGGAAACTAACAGAATGAAATCAGTAGAGAAGTGAGGAGGAAGGGAAAGCCAAGGGAGATGGGTAGGATTAGAGTGAGGCTTGGTGGAGTTGATGGCTGGTGAGAAGGCATTTCAAATGACCTTTGATTAATTGTCAGTGATTTAAAGGCCATTTGAAAGTTCAAAGCCATATAGGCATGTTCATGTTTGCTGCTCAGAAACTCAAGGGCAAAAGATGTTTGGAGAATTCATGTATTCATTTATTTTTTAAAAGCTAAGCATAAGTAAATTATCTTTTTTTTTTTTTTGCTCTTAGGTAATGTGTATTCTGCCTTCTAATCAGCAAAACTATTATGATTCCATTAAAAAATATTTGAGCTCCGACTTTCCAGTCCCGAGCCAGTGTGTGCTTGTTCGGACCTTGAATAAACAGGGAATGATGATGACTCTGGCCACCAAGATTGCCATGCAAATGACCTGTAAACTCGGAGGCGAGCTGTGGGCTGTGGAGATCCCTGTGAGGAATTTGTTTCTCTTTTCCTTTCAGTAATCAGTCAAGTAATTTTAAAAAATTAAGTCAAAGTAGGAGCTATTTTTACATGATCGCACAAGTATTTGATTTGTTTGTTTGTTGGGTTGGTTCATTGTTTGTCTGCTGTGGGTGCTGGTATTATACAAGCCCACCATGAGGGTTTGCAGAAGGCGAGGTGGGCCCTTGTTCTCAAGGAGCCGGTAACAGAATATTTCGTGAAAGAGAGTCTAATTCGGCATAGACTTGGAAGAACTTGATTTGGAGCCACTCAACCGCTATTTAAAATCTATGCTCCACGGCCTTTGCCTTTACCTGCTTTCAGAAGGTGTTAACTCTCAGAGTAGCCTTTTTCCCTGCTTAGGGCCTCCCCAGACCTTGGGGAGCTGGCAAAGCCTATGATCCAAACCTCCAAATATGTTGGGAACTGAGAAAACCCTCTTCTCTTTCCTGAAATATGGCCACTCTGGGAGGAAGTGAGGGGATGAGAAATGAGAGAATGTTGCTTATTTTCTTATGTTTCTATAACCCGGCATATGACATTAGCCCCTCCTGGAGGCACGTAGCCAATTGAGGATTTCTTAGATATCTGAAGAAAGGGGAATGGAATTCCTCTTCAAATTTCTTCAGCCCAGAGGCAAGGGATAAAGGGACTGGCCACTTTCCCAGAATCTCTTGAGCTACTGATGGCCCTTGGCCACCTCCGCAAAGGATGGTGGCTATTTGGACTATAGTGAGTCTCCTAAGCAAAGTGTGGACCACATCTTTCTCTCTATCTTTAAGTCTCTTTTGTTTCTAGTTTAATAATCTGTCTCATCTGGACATGTATCCTGGCACATAGCTTAACTTGCATAATTAAATAATTAAGGACAGTTTTTTAAAAACTTCATATTAAGCCATTATTTGGGGGAAATAACACCTCATTCCATTAAATCATGAAAAATTTAATTTCACAGTTAAAGTCCCTGATGGTAGTTGGTATTGATGTCTGTAAGGATGCATTCAACAAGGGAATGTTGGTGGTTGGATTTGTGGCCAGTATCAACCCCAGAATCACCAGGTACTTTTAAAATTACCCTAACGTATTCTTCCGTTATTTGACTATTAATCGTGGGTTAACTATATAGCAAGGAATAATTTGTATTCTTCGCTCATTTTTAAAATAGGAATGTTTATGGTCATAATACTTACACATATAAATGTGATTGATATTATTGGGGTAATATGTAATCTCATTAAAAAACTATTTTTATACATGCATTAGGACAGGCTATTACTCATATGCCAGTCATATTCCTAAAATGATGGCCGTGTAGAAATTTATTTTCTGAACATCTGCACTGTATTAGGCACTGTACTAGGAACCTTACATACATGATGCCAGCAGTTGAGAATCAGATTTCCTGAATTATATCCTGTCTGCCATTTACTTATTCTGTATAAATGCTCAATACATGCTCATTATTGTTTTATTATTCTTAACTCTCACAGACACTTGATATGGTGATTGTTCACACAGCTATTAAAACCACAGGCAGGATTAGGGATGACCCGTTAAAGTTGTTACAGTTAAACACCGTTACAAACACGGGGGTAGTAGTGCTTGTTAAATTGTAGTTCTTAGAATTGTTTCAATATTTGTATCTAAACAATGTTTTGAGGCTGTAGGAGCTATTTGCAAAAATGTTTCTTCCTCGACTGAAGCCGTTTGATTTGCTCCATTACATTTATGGTCAGGTACATATTTGGAATTGTGAGAAACAGGAAAAGTAGCAGCATGCTTCTGAGTTCATTCCAGGCTATATGAGAGCCCTGTTATGTGTGTCACTTCCTTAAGCAGATAAAGGACTACCAGCTGGTCAGCAGTATTCCTAATTGCATCATTATTGTTGCTTATATTTAGATAACTATAATAATGTTGACACATACTTACCACTAAGTCATGACTTTCATTTTCTAAGTGCTTTTAATTAACGACTTTAGCAAGAGAACTTGCTTCTGAAATCTAAGTAAATTAATCATGTTAAGATTTTAAATCTAAAAGGCTCACCTCTAAAAGTGGGAGTTTATGCTTGAGAAATCTTTGAATATATTGAAAGTAGATCTATTTGCTAAACTAGTAAATTCCTTTATAATAATAACATAGTTCTTCCGTTAGTGCTTATTATGTGCCAAGTGCTGTGCTAAGGACTTTACATAATTATCTAATTTAATTTTTATAACAACTTTATGAAGTAGTGACTGCATTACCATCTTGTAAATTTCCTTGGCATAGGTGAAGAAACTGAAGCTTAGATTCACACACCAAAGTCACAGAGCTGATGAGTATACCAGCCAGGATCTGAACCCAGATGTGTCTGATGCCAGCACAATGCTTGAGTTGCTCTTTAAAATAAATTTCGTTCTGGGTGTAGGAGGGAGCTTTTTAATACAATTGTGATGATCTAGCATATATAGAATTATGAACATTGATTTTATTCATAATGTCTCTTTCTTAATTTAATCCTAATGCATGTTTGTAGTAGAAGGTTTAAAGTTGAACTCTACTTTTGTTCTTTGCTTACTTTAGGTGGTTTTCCCGCTGTATCCTTCAGAGAACAACAACTGATGTTGCAGACTGCTTAAAAGTTTTCATGATCGGTATGAAAAACGTAGTGGGCGTGGGCTCCAAGGACTGTTTCTTCAGACCCAAAGTCCACAAGCGTATACCAGACCACATAGGAGAAAGCAAACTCCCCAGGCCTGCCTGAATCAACTGGGAGTGAGCTGGAGACCCTAAAGCTGTGTCCTGACTCAGGCTAACAGTTAGATTGTAGAGTTTACATTGTCCTCTGTGTGTGATAAATAGAAAGCCAGGAGGAGGGAGAGTTTTTCATAGCTGCTAGTGGCTCTGGCAAGTGGTTTGAAGGCCAAAAGAAACCTACCCTAGAGGAACTGGTATTACGACATAGCAGTGTTAGGTCTAGAAATAGGAGAGAAACCTTTGGGACAGGATATGCTGGCAGATGAAGTGTGGCATAGCAGGAGAGGATGGGGAAGAAGGCAGGCGAGGAGGAGGGGTGCCCCCTTCATAGCCAGATGTGGTGGAAAGAGGGGTCCGGTGTTCCCACTCCCTCACCATCCCTGACAGATCTGGCTTTGCCACCCCTTTGTGGTGTGCTAGTGCATCTCACTCCCTCTCCTAACCTGAATTTTCCTATCTGCAAACTTTGGCCGGGGGCGGTGGGAGGGGGAGGGTTGTAAATTTTTTTTTCCTAAAAAAGAGAATTTGGTGATGATACTTGTTGATAGTGGACTTACATATGTGATCATCTTCCATTGAACTAAATTGAATTTCCTGTACAATAAACTCTTCTAGAACAATTATACAAAATATACATGAAAAGAATTATTGTATCATATTACTTTCCCCTCACTTCAAAACCTATTTTGTTTTGTTTTTTAGTAGTTCTGAGAAGTTTCTCTTGGGTAAGAGTTACCTTCTGGTCTCTGCTCTTCAGGCAATTTCTAGTTAGAATGTATGGGAGTGTTCTCAGTTTGTATTGTCTGTGAGACTTGGAATCTAATCGTTTGAGTTCATATAAAGAGATGCATTGAGAAGAACAGGCAATTCTTTTCCTTAGGTTTTTATATTTATGTTCATTAGAGAAGAAAATGATATAAAATTGTCTACTCTATATTAAGAGAATTTAAAGGCTTGAGGAAACTAAATTAATATTAATTTGATTTTGGGAATTTGTATATCTATTGCATGAATTAAATTTTAATTTATTGCATAAATATTAAAATTTTTCTAAAGATATATACTGAGTTTAAGAATATATTATGCCATGGAAACCATTATGATTCCTAAATAATAGAGGTGCAGGAATGTCCTCTAAAGTTATCCATGTTTATATTATTGCACATACATCCAAGTTAGATATTATCCTATTTTGCAGGAAATAGCAAACTTACTATTTTAGCATCGAAATATATTGGAATTTTATTCTTTGTTGGCATCAGACAAGTCATTCTTTTCTTACTAACACCAAATTCTGCAGGAGCACTCAACAAATGGTACAAGCACAATCATGGTTTGCCAGCACGGATCATTGTATATCGTGACGGCGTAGGGGACGGTCAGCTGAAAACACTTATTGAGTACGAAGTCCCACAGCTGCTGAGCAGTGTGGCAGAAGCAAGTTCAAACACCAGGTATTAAACTGTTCTTTCTCCACACTCCCAATTATAGCACATTCATCGTAACTATTAAAATTATTCTATGCCAGCATTTTTTTTTCATGCAGTTAAGTTTTACTCTGTTTCTGCATCATTCAAGTATAGCTGAATGGACTGATTTTCCCTAGATTGCAGTGTGGTCAGGATGGTCTTATATAAATAGCCTGGGTGATGTGAGGTTTGGGGGCCCGGGTGGGAGCACCTGGAGGAAGGCAGGTGACATCCTCCAGAGCAAATAACACTGAGATTCAGCAGAAAAAAGGCTGCCAGGTGAAGACATTCATATATATTAACATGCCATGGGCAAAAAACAAGCTATGGTTTCAAATTCAAGGCCCAAATCCACACACAGGGCTGGAGCCTCTGAAGTACGGACACTGATGTGCAGCTGGGGGCTATACGAGGTGCCGAAGGAACGTGCGAGTGCTAGGGACGCTGGTTGCCTGTGGGAATCAGTTCGTCTTGAACACCAGGCATCTTGCTTCATGTCACATTTCTAGATTCAGTGTTTCAGCACATTTTCCTCTGATTATGTCGAGTGGCAAGTGCAAGAAAAATATTAGAGCTGGAAAATCGGGGAGGATGATCATCATTTAAGGAGGTGGCTTCTTAAACTATTCAGAAAGCATCTTCCAAGCAGTGCACAGTGCTCTCTCTGTAGGATTCACCACGATCAGCCCAGCGTTGCAGCCAGAAGCTACAAAGGAGCTGAGTCGCGACCTCATTAGTGACTGGTAGAGAGGAGGGAGAGCATAGTAGCTGGGGGACAGTATCACCTTCAGCTGCATCCAAACTGTCAGAGTCAAGATATCTCATTTCCCACTGACCTTCAGTGAATGTATTCAGTACGCAATTTAGGGATAGCTGACAGTGCTAAGGAGTTAGTTTTCTGAACTATGACATCACTTTTAAAACTCTCAATACTAAAAACATTAATATATATTTTCAAATAATTAAATTTCATGGTGACCCTTGCATCTCAGGGGTTCTTCCACGACGGTCAATATTTAGCCTTGGCCTTGGCTTTATTAAAAATGCTGACTTTAATACTTGGTCATTCAGCATTTGACTCAAATGTATATTTGGTCTGTCCATTCATCCTACCAGGCGTGTGTTTTACAGGGATCAGAAGTGGTGATTTGTGGAGTAAGAGGGACTTGTGGTTCTCCCTTTGCTATTTAGAAATTGAGAAGAGTGAAAATAGACTATTGCTAATGGAAAAAAAAAAATCTTGTCTCCATGGATAATTCTGGAAAATCTTTCTTTAGAAGTGTTCATTGAAGGTCATTGCCTTATCAACCATCCCTCCCCATCTCCTTTAAATGATATACACTAGTCAAGTGAGTGGACGTACCACACTTTTAAAATGAGAATAATCCCTAACTGAAAAAAAATGTATGTATCTCTGGGGAAGGAGAGACTGGAGGTGGTTTTTATTTTCTTTGTTTTTGCAGTCTTTCTCTAATGAATTTATCTATCTATCTATCTATCTATCTATCTATCTATCTATCTATCTATCTATCCCATCAAAAAAATTGCCAAGAAAGAGAAATAGAAAACTGTGTGGCTTGATTTTAGTTCTCTCTCTCTCTCTCTCTTTTTTTTTTTTTGTCTTTCTGGTTCCAAGCTCCAAACTGTCAGTGATCGTGGTCAGGAAGAAGTGCACGTCACGATTCTTTACGGAAGTGAACCACACCATACAGAACCCGCCACTTGGCACCGTGGTGGATTCGGAAGCGACTCGTCCTGAATGGCAAGTGCTGCCAAAAAAACCGATGTTTAACAAAACATTCACTGTGCGTTGTTCGGGTTTGGCCCTGCTCTGTGTGCCACCTTCCACACGATCGTTTCATTTTGTCCCTCAGGTATGACTTTTACTTGGTCAGCCAGGCCGCCTGTCGGGGAACTGTCAGTCCCACCTACTATAATGTCATCTATGATGACAACGGCTTGAAGCCCGACCACATGCAGAGACTTACATTCAAACTGTGCCACCTATACTACAACTGGCCGGTGAGTGACAGCTATTTACTTATGTGAGTACTGATACTCAGGATTCCCAACTCAGGAACTGTCACTCAGTTCACTTTTGTATACCTACCCCTAGCACAATACCTGACTTTTCACAAAGGAGGAATGAATGAACAGACAAATGAATGAATGACTTTTTGAGTCCACAGTTGGAGAAACCTAGTCTGTATAGAAACAAAATAGCAATAACTGTTATAATACATTGGGATTTACAATTTCCAGAGGGCTTGATATATACTTTATCCTGTGCGAGCCTGGGAGGAATCCAGGGTACTGTCATTCCCACGTTACGCTGAGGAAGTTGAAGCCACCCCAGACTTCCTCTGATGGGGAAGTAACGGGCACGGCTCTGTTCTGTGTTCCCGTGCTTGAGGCCAAGTTCTCAAAGTCCAAGGCCGAGGTTTGCTCTGAGCCCCTCGTAATATTAGTCATAGGAACATAGATTAGCCCTAAGTGTGATGGCTCCCAGCTCCCAGCACCGTGAAGGCAGACTGTCCACCCACCCCATTCTGCTCAGTGAACTTAAGTTTCCAAAGAGCAAAGGTGTCCTTCGTTGGTTGAGTCTAGTTACTGTTTACTCACTAACACTTTCTGTTGTATATGTAACTAGTAGATGAAAAATCTCAGTGAAAAAAAAATCAGTTTGAAGAACAGATTATCCTCTTAATTACCATTTGTACTTTTTCTTCCCCAGGGCTTAATCAGTATCCCAGCACCATGTCAGTATGCCCACAAGCTGACCTTCCTGGTGGCACAAAGCATTCATAAAGAACCAAGTCTGGAATTAGCCAATTCTCTCTTCTACCTGTAATGACGTGAACCGCTGGCATCACGACATGAGAAATCTGAGTTGTCAGTATACTTTGTACAAATCTGCTGTGAGCATGATCAAAGCTGTGACTGGGGAAAGGAAATAGAGCTTAGTTTTAACTTCTGGAAAAAAAAAACAAAAACAAAATTTAATATGGTTCGAAAGAAATGTATGTTGTTTTATTTTAGAGAGTTAAATTGGGTAAATTCTCATTGCGGTATATGGAATTAAAATGTACCATCACCTGTAAGTAATTCCACAAAGCTAAATATCCTCTAAGAAAATAAGTATTTGCATGATGTTTTATACTTAAACTTAGCCAAAAGGCCAAGAAGCAATTGCGTGATGTTTTGATGGTAGGTAAACAGGGTCTAATTATTACCTTAAATTCTGTAGTTTTCTTAAATAATGTTGTAGAGCATTTCGTAGAGTGGTTTAAATGGTTATTAGAAAATAAAGAAAATTTAGAGCATTGCATATTGTGTTTATTATTATTTGAATTTTAGTTGAAGTTACATGTGCACCTCATTATTAAAGTGTTTTTAGCAAAGATTCTTACCTACTAGGCCACATCACAATTGCTCTTTGAGTTATATTTCTAAAATTGAACATATCACTTGCTTTATTGATAGTACTTTATTTCACTTTGTGGCAACTACTCTCGTTGACGACTTTGCTTCCCACTGCACTGGGATTGCACCGCATCATAAGAGAACTTGCACAGGCTCCCATTCCACCTTCCGATTTAATGGCACAAACGCTGCCACTCACCTTATTGTCATAAATAAATCACGTCTGTGATCTGTGGAAGGCTCTCCACCTGTGTTCTAAATCCCATTCCTCCTGTGAAGGGTTTCGCTCTAGCACTTCTTCCTTCTCCTTTCTGCATCATCAATTTCCCCCTCGCGCTGGATCGTTCCCATTGGCATTGATAAATATGCTGTTACTTCTCTCATCTTAATCAGCTATTTCCCCCTCCAGCCACCACCTCATTTCTTTGCCCTCTTTACAGAAAATAGTCTATGTTCGATGTGTCAAATTCCTTACTCCAATCACAATTTCACAACCGCCACGTCAAAATTGCGTTTGTCAAGGTCACTGATGACTTCTGCTTTGCTAAATCTATCAATTTTATGTTCTCGTCTTACCTAGCCTGTTACAGCATTTGACCCAGTTGATCATTTCTCCCATCTTGAGGCACTCTACCTGGTCACCAAGGGAACACAGGCACCTGCTTTCTCTCCTACTGCGTCGCTCACTCGTTTCCAGTCTCTTGCTTGTTTCTCCTCATCTTCTCGTCCTTTCCACATGAGATGCCCCAGGAATGAGAATATGGCTATGTGCCAAAACTATTTTGAGGAAGGAAAGATCAGAGTTCTAGGTCCGTTTCACGAGGGAAAGACTGTGTGGAAGGCTGCAGGGGGAGGGAGCGCAGAGGGCCGAAGGTGCCCTCCGAGGAGTATGGAGAAGCAGGCACCAACGCAGAGATCATAGGAGATGGAACTGAAAACATTCTTTTCCTATTTGAGAGTTTCTTTTCAGTCCTGGCAACATGGTCTATTTCAGTAATAAAAACGAGAACCATTTGTGGGGTGTGAGGGTGGAGAGAGGTCATGACCTTCCAGGTGCAGTGCCAAACACTTTACATTCACATTTACTCTTCACAAGAACTGTATGAATTAGGCTCTATAATGACCATTTTACAGATGAGAAATCTCTTGCTTGTTTCTCCTCATCTTCTCGTCCTTTCCACATGAGATGCCCCAGGAATGAGAATATGGCTATGTGCCAAAACTATTTTGAGGAAGGAAAGATCAGAGTTCTAGGTCCGTTTCACAAGGGAAAGACTATGTGGAAGGCTGCAGGGGGAGGGAGCGCAAAGAGGGCCGAAGGTGCCCTCCGAGGGGTATGGAGAAGCAGGCACCAAAGCAGAGATCATAGGAGATGGAACAGAAAACATTCTTTTCCTATTTGAGAGTTTCTTTTCAGTCCTGGCAACATGGTCTATTTCAGTAATAAAAACGAGAACCATTTGTGGGGTGTGAGGGTGGAGAGAGGTCATGACCTTCCAGGTGCAGTGCCAAACACTTTACATTCACATTTACTCTTCACAAGAACTGTATGAATTAGGCTCTATAATGACCATTTTACAGATGAGAAAACTGAGGATTAAAGATGCCATGTGACTCACCAAAGTTTATAAGATGAAAAAATTGTGGAATTTGTCCTTGAGTGCGTTTGACTCCAAAACCTGTGAGATGAACTACAAGACTGTACTGCCTTCATAAAAGTTATAATAAGAATTTTAAATGTTCTCCCTGAGTTTTTACATGAGAGATTGCCTATTATGATTTAAAGTTGGAATTATATCTCAGGTAGAGAGAGGCAAGACACTGTACCAATCCAGAGTGGGTGTGCTTTCGTGTTTACGTTTTCTTCCTTCAAAGTACAAGGGTTCTGTCAAGTGCCACCATCCAACAGCTGGCTTAAATAAATCTATATGTGGCATTTGGATTAATGGATACAGGAGTCTCTAAAGCTCCATACCCTTTTAACTATTAAGTATTGCCCAAGGTAATGGCTCCTTACCGTTTTATCCCACCAGGGGGCGCACAAGGACTGTTGTACCAGCAGAGCGTTTCCCTTTGCTGGTGTGGTGCAGGCAGTAGTGGAAGAATAGCCGACTTCAAGTAAGCTCCACGGGGGCGGGGACGTGCAACAAGCGGGGAGCAATATGAGGTTAGGAAACTCTTGAGCTCTGGTTCTAACGCTGTTAGCTGTGGGATGCAATAACCTTCCATCTCTGAGACTCAGTTACCCAACCTGTAATATGAGAAAGGGTTGGAGTGGACATTTAAAAGCTTTAAAAAATATACAGACACCTGGGTTCACCTCCAAGAATAGTGATTTAATTGGCCTGATCATTTGAATATTTTAAAAGTTATCCAGGTGATTCTGATGGTTAGCCAGGTTTGAGGACTATTAATCTAAGACAGCACTGGGTCTGGATCCCAGAACCACCAGTTACTAGCTATGTAACATTGGGCAAGTTACTTAACTTCTTTGAGCCCATTTACTGTAAAGACACCTAACCATGTCCACATTGTAGTGTTGTTGTAGGATTAGAAATATCAAATCTAAAGTACCTTGCTTTAATAAAGAGTGACACATAACACCTCACGAGAGGAAAAGAATCAAATGACGTGATACTAGAAAATGGTTTTGTCAGCCTTCGCCGTCACATACACTCACTCGAGACCAGAAGTGAGTGAAGCACAGCACTCAGGTTGTACCCGCTCACTGAACGTCTAGGAGATTCGATGCAGTCGCTGGACAGCACAGGCCTGGTTCCCTAGGCCCAATTTGTATGCCTCAATCTATCTAATGCTTAAAAATGAAAAAAGCTGGCCTTGCCTGGAGGACCTCCCACTGGCTAAGCCAAAAAAAAAAAAAAGACGTAATTTAGTCAACAAATACTCATGGGTGCATATAAGAGCTGTGCTAGGTTCTGAATTCTACAGTACTGCTTAAGGGAAAGCTTAATACTTTCTCTAGATGTGAGTAGTCTACTACTTGCTGTTTTATGGAGAGAGAAGGTTTTGTTTTTATTTGGGCGCTGGGATGGAGACTCTTGAAGAAAGTATACTTTAAATACGTTTCGTGGCAGCCATGAGAGGCACCCAGCAGACTTCCCTGAGCTGGCTGACACCCTCTAGATGGGCAACAATGACACAACAAGATGAGAGCATTTAGAAGAAAGCTGAAGTATGTTCAAGTCCTTATCTTGTTATGGAGGAGTTTAGAGGTATTAACTTTACATTCCACTAGAAGGTAAAGTTAAAAGTCATCTGGGTATCTTCTTAAATGAAAATAGCATCCATTACTCTGAATTAGTGAAAGGGAAGAAAAGAGGATAAACGATACTATTAAATCAACAGAGGACAAGAGAAGAGGAAGACTAAAAAAAAAAGAACATGGTAATTGGAAACACTAAATAAGATGGTACCTATACACTCAAAAATATAATTAATCTTAATTATATACAATTAATTTATTACTGAAGACTAAGACCTAAAAAATCTAATTATACATTGTATAAAAGAGACACATTTAAAATGAAACAACATAGAATGTTTGAAAGTAAAAAAATAGGAAAATGTATGCTTTGAATTAATAGTCAAAATAAACCTAGAATAGCAGTGTTCATATAAAAAACAGAATTTAAGGCTAAAAGTAGGGCTATTACATATTTATAAAAGTAGCAAAATAAAGAATCCAAGAAGATATAATGATTATGAATGAGTAGGCATGGATTAGTGTAACTTTGAAATACAAAAATAAAACTGAAAGAATTACAGAGAGAAATTTACTAATTTCTTTAACTCACAACTAAATGAGACTTTAATATGTGTTTCAAAAACTGATCAGAAAAATGAAATCATTAGAAATTAGATTTTTTTAAAAAAAACAGCAAATATAATTTAATAATAGGCACAAAGCAAGTCTGTACAAATTTGAAATAATTGATACGATAAAGATACATTTATGGACACAGTTCTAAAAAGTTCATGGCTTAAAGAAAATCACATTTTTTTAATTAGAAAAGAGCACTACATAATAAAATACTTGTAGAATAAAGTTAAATCGACATTTACAGGGAAATTTACAGCTTAAAAATGCATGCTAAAAAAATAAGACAAATTATTTAAGCAAGCATTTAACTGAAACTAAAGAACTGAGAAAAAAACAAAAAAGAATTAGAAAATAAAGGAAGTACATATTAATAAAAAATAAGGTCTGATTTTTTTTATTATTATTATGGAAATTTCCAAATGTGGATAAAAGTAGAGAATGGTAAAATAAACCCTTCTTTACTAAGCTTCACTAATTCCTGTGCGATGGGCAATCTTGTTTCATATATACTATCACTCACTCTTATATTTCTTACTGTATTATTTTAAAGCAAATCTAGACGTTTTAATTAAAATCTGGCTTTTTGC